ATTGTGGTAATATCATTAGAAATATATTTTACAGAATTACATTTGTCATAAAATATATGTTTTCAACGCATTAAGTAAATATGACTGCGTGTACCACCGGTGGTACACATGGCACGGAACGTGTATGTGTACGTGAATATAGCTATCAAGTTATGGTTCCTTGCAAGAAAGTATATACGTGAAAAGACCACGTGTCTTGAATGATAAACATAATAGGCAATAAACTTATACTTGTTTTGATTCTAATCATACTGGCGAAGGAAATTTAGGAAAGTAACGAAGCCAGATGTTTTCAGTGACTGGGCATTAAAGAAGGAAGTCGTGATGTTTGATAATTTCATAAATGTATTGTTGCTATGGACTGATTTAAGTGTAGATTGAATACAATAATTTCAGCATTATTATTTAATGATAAAATACAATCGTTGAACAATAATGTGCAGTCATTTTCAGAAAGTTTTTCCATTCACGTGATAAAAAATTATTGATAATTCTTATTAATTCCATGGACAAAAATCGTACAAGAGATTTTAAGGGATTGTTATGAAGGAGAGAAAATCATACTATTTTTTTCTCTCTCTTCAGTTTTTTTCTCATATTTACTGTTTGCTAATAAGTGCGTGAACATCTGTACTCGTACGTGCCGAGATTAAATCGAAAATTACTATGGAAATTACGACTATAGAAAATGGTTTGGCTCGATGGACCCGGTGAAGTCACGAAACAATCCTGAGATCGAAGATCGTGAATAATGGACTGTATTATTTGATGATTACGAAGTTCACTCTTTCGAGAATTCATACGGTGATTTATTTTTATTTATCGTAATATTCTACTGTAATTCTGTGTAACGTAATCTAACGTTTGCAATTAATTAGGTCTGTAATGTTTCCCTGTTTTATACAAGTTGACTAACAAGTTCTAATTAAAGTTTAATCACTTTAAAGTACAGGTCGTTTGATTGTCCTTATATAGTTTATCTAAAAACTGGCGAAATTAAACGTCGATAGAACAATCGATGTCAATCATTTTTAGAGGATACTAATTAAACACAACAGGCATGCAAATCAGTGGCCGGGAATAACAACAATAAATGATCGTGACACAAGTATGATTGTGACAGAGTGTTAGGGCTTTTTAATCAGCATGAAAAACGAGCAATTATTCTTGATCATGAATATTTAAAATAAGACAATAAATTTTTTCACGCTGATAAGAAAGAAACTTAAATCGTCCTTGGTCTAGAAGATTTTAGACGAAAGTCTAGACAAAAGTATGTACACATACATAGTTTGAGTACTAAATTGCAATTGCATCGTGATACATTAGAAATTGACCTGAACAAAAAGGTTGTATATTTTTTATCATACACAAGCTTACTTATTTAAATATCGTGACGAATATAAAATATTCTGCATGCACTATAAATATTATCCTACTCGTTGGACGAGTAATGTATAATAAAACATAGAACATTTTCTTGTTATTATTTGATGTAATGAACTGCATGTGTAATGGAGTTTTTGGCACAAAATTAAATTATTTACTTTGAAACTTTAACTTTAATTAATTCTCAACGAATTATTTTTGTGTGTAAATTTTTTTATCTAATTCTGTATGTAAATACACATGTATTTTCTTTTTAGCAACTCAATTCAATTTTCAATGTATATCATTTATGATTTATGATAAATCTTATTTCTATTGCTTGTGCAATGAATTTTCAAAGCCTGAAATATTTTGAGATAAATTATAATTAATAAAAAGTAAAATTAATGTATGTTACGTCACGTGAAAATTTTCTAGTAAATGATGCGATACATTTATTTTTAAATCCAATTAAACCATTAGTTCTAACCATTAACC